AACGACAATTCGCGAATAACGACAGAATTTCCATGCCCAGAACAAAGTCCCACCCAACTGTAGTACATATGATGAGACTTCGGGTATAACGACACTTCGCGAATCAGGACACTCTTCTGATGCCCCGCCGAGTGTCGTTATACGCGAAGTTGACTGTAGACGACAACAGTGAACTGGGTGAATGGGAGCTGTGTATACCGGTAATCTTTCCGCCATTTGGTTTCGCGGGGCTAGTCCACTTCAGCCGTACACAATGACATTAGGATACCAGGCGCGCCCTGCGGAAAAGGTCATGAACTGTGTGTATTCACACTCACAAGCGTACTTTAACTGGCTATACCCTCCATATCTGGGACAAGTTGCCCCGCAAACAGGCTGCAGCCATGATTAATGCATGGGCGCCATTTCGTTGCACTTTTGCAGCACACATGCTTGGGCTGTCTCATACCGACTTGGCTCGAGCAAAGAGTAGATGGTATAATACATAATATATAGATTTTTGGTTGGAGGAAAGCAAATCAGCACACGAAGCACAGAAGCCATATAATTTTTTCGACTAGGCCTTTCATTCCATTACTCTTCAGGTCGAATACAATGGTGATTAGCAAGGTAGTAAGCAAGTCCTTATAAGTTATAACCGGCACTTTCGGCGGGCAGAGCATTGACAAAAATAGCACTTGAAAAATAGCGCTAGTGGCACCAACAGCATATTTGGCGGTCAGAGCATATGTGCAAAAGAAGTATGTGCGAAAGTTGTCACTGTTTTGACATTTTAGTACCGTGGTCCCCACTGTTGTCTGATACTGGTAATATTCATTGTCTCACTGTGTACTTGGCGCCACTAATGCTATCTTTTAAAGTGCTATTTGGTCTATGCTCTGACCGCCAAATATGCTGTTGGCGTCACTAGCGCTATTTTTCAAGTGCTATTTTTGTCGATGCTCTGCCCGCCAAAAGTGCCGGTTATAAGGACTTGCTTACTACCTTGCTAATCACAATTGTATTCGACCTAAAGAGTAATGGAATGAAAGGCCTAGTCGAAAAAATTATATGGCTTCTGTGCTTCGTGTGCTGATTTACATAGTATATATATATACTCAATCTGGTTGGTTGTGCTGAGCCAAACTGCCATGAGCAGCAGCTGCTCACAAACACAAAACGTCACCGGCGCTGTCAACCTGAAGAAAGCCTACTTCCAGGCTTGGCACACGATCGCAATGCACAAAGCAAAACAAGAATTCCTTTCTGATAAACACGACGGACCTTGTACAATTACTCTCCTGCCAATGTCACATGCATGCCTGCTTCTACACTACTGTAGTCTGTTGTTCGTGAGTGGAATTTTGAGAAGAGAATACAATGTACATCATCATGCATGTACATGCCCAAACAACAGACCAGGTCCGCCGCTTCTTTCCGCATGATCTCCTCCAACAGTCGTGCAACGTCCGGTGTCGGAGTCGGGTTTCCTGTCATAGCAACACTGAAGAGAACGTAGCAACACCAGAAAAAAGGGAAATACGAGTAATAAAGCATGGATTCGTGAATCTAGAGGAGCAAGTGCATGCATTTGACACTGCATTGCTTGGCGACACAGGTTGAATCCTGATAATTCGAACCCAAAACTACCAGGGAATTTGTTCTAGTTAACGAGACATTTTAATTATAAGAATCCAAACTAGGACTAAGCCAAACATAGACACATATTCTACGCACTCTGAAATGACCAGTACAGTCTGCTTCCACACACTGAACTGACTTGTATGGTGTACAGTGAACTTCGAATTATACCTTGCTGACTTCAGATTAGATGGAATCCCACACATTTTCTATGCAAGGGTTTTATGAGACTTCTTATTTTTAACCCTTTCAATTTTTCTTCAGACTTTTCCCGTTTGTCTCTTTCCCTCAAACCAGTTAACATTTTATGATTTGGGGCTCCCCGCGTGCTAGTTTGTACGTGAAGTGTGTGGGTTACAGTGAGGGCTGCGTCCCACCCGCCTGCGTGGATTCACAGGAAGTGTGAGTTACGAAGTCTGAAGAAAATGTTGAACGGCCTCTGCTGGGATGACGACTACACCATAGCTCAGTGGTTAGAGCATCGCTGGCTACAAGCTACAAGTGAAGGCCCCTGGTTCGAGTCCTGGTGGTGATAGTCAATTTTTTCTTCAGACTTTCCCGTTTGTCTCTTTCCCTCAAACCAGTTAACTTAACCCTTTATGGACAATTGCACGACTTTCAATCATATATGATCGAAACTTCAAGCAGGGATTCCAACGGGCGATCTTCATCGTTTTTCGATATTTTCGATAAATCCACAGCTGGGATGCATGCGGATCGAATGAGCATAAAATCTACGTACGTCACAAGTAAAAAAAGTTCGCGAAAAATCACACAGAACATTGCACACTCAATAGGGAGGTTTCGCTCTACGGAATTACGTATGAAAATAACGTAGGAACTGCACGGAATTTTCATACGAGAAAATCAGAGCTGTTGGGTTTTGCTCTACGTGATTTCTCCACGACTGCTAAACATGCGTTGTTGCTTTGGAGACGCGTTGGCTGCATGTACCCACCGCATGCACCACGAACAGAAACCACGTTTTCCATTTTATTTTGCACGTGGTGTACGGTGTGTGTACCTTGTGTTTCACGTGGCTTGAACGTTGCCATGGACAAATCCGGAAAATGCGAAAAATATTTCAAAAAGTCCTACGGAGGACCCAACGTAGGAAACAGCTTTCCTACGGAAATCCGTAGAGAGATTTACGTATGAAAGTTGCCCTCGCTCCCCGGCGCGTACGACATACGGATTTTCATACGTAATTACGTAGAGCGAAACCTCCCTAATAGTGCATTCGCTCTCAATGGAACTCAAACGGTTTTCAACACTTCACTTGGGCAACTTTTATTGATCCGAATTTGGTCTGGTCTCTTTTATGTGAAAGCTGTGTCCATCTTAATCGAGTTGCATACAATTTGTATATAACAAATCATAACCGTTCTTGAGTTACAGCAGTCAATCGAATGCCGCATTTCCACATTAATTTAATTGGTCCATAAAGGCCTCTAGCCGAGTCTGATGCGAACCGTGAATTTTTTTAAGGGTTTAATTGCCAGTACATGTATACATCAAATCCACAAAAAAAGATCAACATTGCAAATGGCACGCAAGTTGCATCTGAACTTCAAATTCTGAAGCCTCCATTATCCATCGTCGGGAGTCATGGTGAGGAAGATGAGACGGGAGGGCGGAACGTGAAACGATGCCAGTTTCGCTCCCAGGCTGCCTGCTCAAGTCGCTCTTCTTCGGGCAGGACTATTAAATTAATGCATGTCTGTGTATGACATTGCTGGTCTGGACTGCGCTTGGGGTCCACTGTCAACAGGTTGTAGCCTCGAATGCGTGCTGCATAGACCATATACTGCATAAACCTTCCAAATCCGAGGGTTCGAATACACATCGTTTCAGGCGCTACGGTCGAATGCCGTCTTTCTGCTCATCGCACAATGTCGTTAAAGAAAGCGTGTAGCTAAACTCTTGGGTTCTTCAAATTTGTGAAAGCGCACCGTCGGATCAACCACTACAAAGACCCGTTGCGAAATGAATGCCCCGCTGACGCTCTGATAATACATATCCTTATGGGATCCAGAAACTCAGCTCATTTCCTCCCGTCACGTCAGCTAGCACAGAATCAGATTTCGAGTGTGACTCGCAGTGCTTATCCGTTCTCAACTACATGTACTAGCAATGCATGTGCTACTGAAAAGTAGAATTATCGGATATACTGTACCGGTAAATATTAGCGGCGCGCAGACAATAACTTACACCCCTTCACACTTCTCTAGTCTTCCGTACTTCACTTTCTTTTCTCCTATTTTTCTTTTACATAGTGCATTTCGTACTCTTCCACGTATGCATTGTTGTTTATTGCTAGATTTCATTATTGAGACGTATTTCCCTGATGAGTGTCTCTAGAAAACTTGTTAGGAATTTTTTTATTATCCATATTTTATTCTTGTTGATTACTACGTCCAATGTCCGCTTCGCTGATTCTGCTGATTGCTATAATAAATATTAACGAACTACATGTAGGCCAAGATCAGTAAAATGCACAGTCTGCTTCGCAGGACAATACCTACAGAGTGTTTTGAATTTCCAATTGAAATGACGAGGAGCTAGACATGGTGAATCTTTCTCCGATGACAGCAACGCTCAATTCTATTCGGCACAAGAAATCTCACCAAGAGCAAAATCCACGACGGTAATCTTCAATAACTACCGTAACAAATTACTTTGATCTTTCTCTCATTCTATCCAGTCCGCTATCACCCTTCCCATAAAGTAATAGTTCCCATTTATTTCATTTCCCTTTGATTTGATTTTGAACAGAAAACGCAGCTTGGTATCAGTGATCACGTGCATCAACTTCTGATCAAGGCCTAGGCCAAGCAGTGACATCATTGTCTTCGAAAGGCTCGTTTTTGTGTGTTCCTCTTCTTTTTTTGGTTCTGCAACATTTTCGCAAGATCAAAGATAATGACTTTCGAGTACTGTATTGTAGTTTCAGTCTTCTTGAGCAGAACTACAGTCCATTCAGAAAAAAATGAACTTCTAGCTTTTGGCCATAAATGGGTCAAACGTTGAGTTTTTTTAGAATTTTTTTCTGCAATCCCATAATTATGGAATCATAATTATGTTTCTGAAGTTTTTTTGTCCAAAAAGCAAGCCATAGCAAGAATAAGATTTCGGCCAGGTTTTGCCCCAAAAGCACTGAATTGGGAAAAACCATCAAAATCCAGGCCGTTTGACCCCGCCTGCAACAGTGCATTCTGCGGTTCGAACCCCAGTTCAGGCACCCTTTTTGGACCCTTTTTCAAATTTCAAAGTTCGCAGCACTGCACTGTGTACGATAAAATCACGAAAAATCGCCAAATACGGGAGCTCGCCAGAGCCAGGACCCATCTTTTTATGAATGGACTGTAAGTAAGTAGTAGTTAGTTACTTGTGTGCTTTGAAGTCAGAACGGCGAGATAATCAGGGGGATCCACTGCCCACAGCTGTTTGCTGTTCATGAAGTAAATCCGTTAGTAGACTTTCCAGCTACGACTGAGTACAATGTCAGCCCGACCTCAACGTCGGAAGTCTGCCAGTGGACCTGGCTTCGTTGGAATCAAATTTTGTCAGGAATGGTAGGGAGAGCTAGAGGCTTGATGTTTATGCTTATTTGCTGGTAATCGTGTCACGATTGCTTCAGGTGCATCAGCGTAGTTTTGACTGGTTTCCCTCCTTGATTCAAGTTGAAATAAACTAATGCTGAAAATCGCAGTTGCTAGCATTTCGATTTGGAGAAAGAACCACGGATCTCACTGACTCTATCTCTGTTGCCATTGACAGTATTATGCACACATCATAATGATACTATGGTTTGTGTTCAGCTTATATCAGACCCGTTGACTGTAACAACCTCACATAATCAATTTTGAAACTTCTTCAGCGTGAAATCCGTCGGAATTTGATTATTCTTCACCTTTGTATCACATGAAACTGTTGGCAGTTTAGGCAAAGTAAGGTTTCATACACGTTGAAAAATGTGTTACGTACACACAATGTGATCTCGATCATGTGCAGCCCTACTGGAGATGCAGTAGATAGTGTGTGTGTGTGTGTGCGCGCCTCTGTCCATGTCTGTGCTAATGTGTGTGTATGTGTGGGCATGGGTGCGAGTGCATGCGCACGCATGTGTGTACGACTATGTACGTGTGCACGCGTGTGTGTGTCTGTGTCTTTGTTTGAATGCGTCTGCGGGCATGCTTGTGTTGTGTGCTATGGCCTATGCTGCCTTTGCACTGCTCAGCAACAACATGTTATACCCGAAGGAGGACAAGGAAAGGAAGACTTTACTATACTCGGTAGGTGGTTTTCTGGCCCATGTTTGCAATGAAACGCTGCTGTATGTGTGCAGCATGTGTTGTTGGGCTGTTAAGATTATGCGTCTGCCTGCATCATCGAGCGTGCGTCTGGCTGTCCTCTGAATATTCTCTATGCATTTGCAGCAGTAAAGAAGGTGTAGTGCTGCAACTATCCCTCTCTCTCTCTCTCTCTCTCTCTCTCTCTCTCTCTCTCTCTCTCTCTCTCTCTCTCTCTCTCTCTCTCTCTCTCTCTCTCTCTCTCTTGTGTGTGTGTGTTTGTGTGCTGTGCAATTGGCATGTCCGCATTGCAGTGTCGTAACTGTGACTACTACCAGGAAGCAGATAACAATTGTATCTACGTCAACAGAATAGAGCACGAAGTAGAGTAAGTACTGCCCCCCCCCCCCCCCCCCCCCCGGAATACCTATAGTAGAGTAAGTACACTCGGACGTCTCTTATCCGGGCACCTTGGGACCGGGCACTGCCCGTATCTCAGATTTGCCCGTATCTCAGAATAACTCATCTACTACCGGTATGTATCATAATCATTCGTTGAAGACGTTTATTTGGCAACCATTGCACATGTTAAGGATACCAAAATGATCGATCGATAACGACGTGTGGATTACACAGGTTGATAGTGACAAAATAAGCACTTGTGCATACGAAAAAAGTTCAAACCCACAAATCCGAAGCATTTTGCCATAGGAACCCAAGCTGAAGGTGCCCGGTAGAGAGACGTGCCCGTATCTGAGGCGTCCGGATAAGAGACGTTTGAGTGTACTGCCCCCCCCCCCCCCCCCCCGGTATTTCCCTGTAAGTTAGTTCTCCCCAATGACTTAGTACCCCCTATAAAAAATACACTTTCCACTGCCGACGTTATCACGCCGAAAGACAGTTCCCCCCGAAAGATAGTAAGTTCGTACCCGTCCTACATGTACAGACACCGTACAGTACACACATCATATGCACGGACACTAGAGTTGCGCAGGCTTCCCACTGCGTGTCATTTACCCCCGATAAAAAAGTACTCCCCGAAAGATAGTACCACCCCCGACAGTTAGTACTCATGTGGCTGCTAAGTTCGTAAGTTAGTACGTACTAACGTACGGGGAAATACGGTACCTATAGTAGTCAGTACAGTACTGTGGGCTGGCCAAGAACTGGGGGATCAGCCTCGTAGCCTGGACCGTTCTCTCTGTCATGTACGTACAGTCCATGCACAGTTGAGTCACTGTGTATACTTGACAAGTACATTGGTATGTTGTGCTTGGTAAAATTCTAGCCTGGTCGTTCTTCGGCGCCCGACAGTACTGTACTCGATCGTGACGCAAACTTTCAAACGGGACATTCAGTCTGCGTGTGCTATGGGTCATGCAGCACCAATGCAAGGTGTTCTTGAGTGGGAGTGTCAGCACTGGCTTGTGTTCACCACGCTCTCGAGCAGCTAGCGGGTGACGGAATGTGGACATATCAAGCTGTGGCTGTGGCTGAGTTGACATGTTCATGCGCAGGAATGCATTCAGAAGCATTTGGTCACTTTTAATGCAGTAGGGCAGCAAACGTGAGGTCCAACATCTCTTATGCATGTGCGTTGCCATTCTTAGAAGTAACACCTTACCATACCAGCTTGGTGTCTGTGAGAATTATTAACGGCACGTGTACTCGTACATGTTCACGAGGGCTGCACCAGATTGCGGGGCCTTGCTCGAGCTCAAGGCCGGATTTCTTTGACAATAGTTGTACTTTGCAAATAATGATGTCGGCAGTGTTGTGGATTGCATTTTTGTTGAGTGTCTGTTCTTGGTGTGTGTGCGTGTGTGTGTGTGTGTGTGTGTGTGTTTCCTTCTGTCTGCAGTGAGCTGACACAGATTATTGCTGACGTAGTGGCAGACCCTACTCTACCGCGTACCACGGATCATGAATGTCCAAAGTATGTGTTTTACAAGGTTTCAGGAATTCTTCGGTGTTTACTTTTTTAGTAAAGTTGCGCTCGGTGAAATCCGACCCAAACGGCTTATTTGGAGCCCTCAATTTACACGGCTCTTGACGCCCTGGAAGTGGTACGAATGCGGCTGGATGTACACAATCATGTACACATACAGTGATGTAATCGGAACTGGTCCAGGGCGTCAGTTTTGCACTTCGGATTTGGATTTCAGAGCGCGCAATTGTACAGTAGCAATATACATGTACCTGCGTTGCGTTGTCACCGGACACACGAGGTCTCTGGCAATCTTGGCAAGCCTTGGAGGAGTGATTGTATTCTACATTGTATATGTTTGGTTGGTATATTCAGTGGAATAGTGTCTCTGTAAAGCCACATAACTATTTTGTTCGTTTGTTCGTTTTAGTCTCAGTTAGTTGTGAAATTGGATATGATATTTTAGAATCTGTTTTGCAGACAAATCTTTTGTTCTGCTCCGATATTTTGCTTGTCTTTGCAAATCTGTGTGCCAAAGTACGACTTGATTAATTTTATTTTTCTGTGTGTGCGTGTGTGTGTGTGTGTGTGTGTGTGTGTGTGTTCGCGTGTGCATGCATGTGTGTGTGTGTGTGTGTGTGTGTGTGTGTGTGTGTGTGTGTGTGTGTGTGTGTGTGTGTGTGTGTGTGTGTGTGTGTGTGTTATCTAGATGCCATCATAAGGAGGCAGTGTTCTTTCAGTCCCAGTCTCGGCGGTCAGAGGTACGTATGTGTGTGCACGTGTGTATGTGTGGGGTGTAACCGTTATTATGTCCAGTGCTGGAGTAAAGGACCACACTGGCAAATGCGTTTGGATGTTAGTTGCGGCTCAGGCTAAGTCGACTTAGTATGTGCAGGGCCTGCTGGAGAGCCGGGTCAGCCGGGCCGCGCGCCCGGCTGGGGAACTGCACGACCTGGCTGAACAGATAACACCGGGTCCTGTCTGACCCGGCTGAAAAATGTCTCAAACTGACAATGGATTCCTAAAATACCGGTATTTTACGACTCGCGGACCCCATCTGTTGCAAATCTAGCGCAACCGTACACACTACAGTCTACAAGCGACGGAAACTCGGCTACAATTGTAGGATCAACTGGTTCGATCGCGATCTGGCCAGCGGCAAGCAGGAAGTCAGGACATTCAAAGTCGATGGGGCAGGCTGTCAAAAGCGTAACTTTGGCTATAGCTTTTGACACAGTTGCAAGTTTTCAGCCGACTGGTGATTTGGACGATGGAGCCCGCAGCGAAGAGAAAAAGAACTCACGCTTTCCAAGACTCTTGGAAGAAAGGTCAACCCTGGCTGGACTACGACCATGCCAGTCTATCCATGTCATGCGCTTTGTGCAAGACGCATTTCCAAAGGAAGACGAGCGGCGGTGAATTTGGTCGCGATGCGTGGTTGAAAGGTAAGAACTCACTGCTTCGAATTATCGGCATGCTGCTCGGCTCCGTCCTAGCTTTCGACATCCGCTCAAGTAATCGTTTAGTCTGCACCGGACTTAATACAACAGCAACAGCGCCAGCAGCAGCAGCAGTTGCAACTCCATCAGTTCTCCAGTCTGCTGAAGCCTTTCAGCAGATGGTGCAGCAGATGCCAGTCGGCTTGCCCATGCAGGTGATGCAGTGGCAGCAAGCAGCCACTCCACAAGGTGCTGCAGGCACACACACACACACACACACACACACACCAGGTCCTGGTATACACTGCCATGTAGGTCACGTGTTTCTCGTTGAGCGAGACGGAGACGAGAGGAGACATGAGCGTTGGTGACGGGATAAGTCGTTTCGCCTTTTGAAACGCCTCTGGCAATTCTGACATTGCAATTGGAACTTGTCCCTTTCATCAGCAGTTGGGCGCTTGGTGGATCGGTTGCAGTTGTGAATAGCAAAGCCCCGGATCGACTTACAGCAGCGTTCACAAATGGGACAGTGAGCGGTACAGCACGGTTTCCGAATACATAGGCGTACAGGTGAAGAGCTTATGGCATTGGCAACATTCGGGGCAGAATTGGACTGGACACAGCGATGGACTGCAATGCCACCCGCACTCCGAAACCATCGGTGACACTGGGAGCACTGGCGGCTGTTGGCTTGCTGCTGGACTGGTTTACGCCGTTCCATGATGCACTTGTGGCGGGCGATATCTTGCTGCCGAGCAAATGCACGCCGGCACACCTCGCAGACTATCTCCCGAGCCGGTTTCTGAGCTGGTTGTATTGCTCGATAAGCTTGCCGCCACTCAGATCGTTCCTGCGCTGTGTCAAACCATGACTCGTCGGCGATGTTTATTCGTCGCAGGTCGACTCTAATTGCGTCTCGCCATCGTTTCCGCGGGCCACACGCTGGGCGTGGTGGCAGCAATGTGCCAAATAACAACATCCGCGGCATCCGCTCCTCAGGCATGCGTACCACGTGCCCAAGCCATTCCAGTCTTCTCTGCATGAGGCGGTCGGGGATATCCAGTGGGTTTGCTGCATTCCATGTTTTCAGAATGGTGTCCTTGGCTATCTTCAAGTCCCACACATCCCGCTGTGCAACACTCATGATGGAAAGAAGCGACCGGTAGTAGAAGGTCGTGATCCGTTGCACATCACTTTGCAGCGGTACCCACGTCTCCGCACAATAGAGCAGTAAGGACAGAACACAGGCCTCGAAAACCAGACGCTTGGTGCGCAGAGAGAGATTGTGGTCATTGAAGACAGCATGACGGAGCGCTCCAAAAGCACGGGAGGCAGATGAAACACGGGTCGATACATCTTTGTGAGATCGGCCAGAATCATGGATAACAGCACCCAGGTATCGGAACTCACGCACACATTCCAATGTGCCATTCTTCACAGGAAGAGGAAGTCGGTCATCATCCGTGATACCATAGCCAACCGCCATAAATTTGGTCTTGTCCAGATTGACGGTCAGACCAAATGCAGACGAGACATCGATGAACATATCCAGAGCAAGAGCAGCAGCAATACGGGTAGTGGCAAACAGTGCAGAGTCGTCAGCGAACTGGCAGTCGTTGATGGTAGTCTGATCGTCAGTACGCTTTCTCTTGAAATAAAGCGAGCCCCCAGGATTGAATGCCAACGGGACGCCGATACCAGGCACATGCTCAACCACTCTGGACCATCTCTGGAAAACAGCCCACATGAATATGTTGAATAAGACTGGTGCCATACAACAGCCCTGCCGCAAACCACTCTTCACTGCAATGGGTTGGATCAAGAGTCATAACCCCCCAGAGTGTGCAACTCCAGGTTGGGGTCTGGCGCAACGAAATCCAAACATTGCGTCATCCGGTCCCCGGGCAAGCATGGGTGGATGGGGCCATGTGCATATCTGGTACATCCGGCGGGGGTTCCAAGTTGAAGGTTGCTTTGAAGCAAGCCACGGAAGTGTCACGTAAAACGTTTGCTCCACGGGCTATGCAGTGTCAGCCAGAACGGCTTTGATTTCACAGTCACAGAATTTTTTTATTTGAAGAGAGTTTCTCTGCTCGTTGTCTGAAAAGCTTGTATTGGGAGAGTTCGTGACTCCGGGATAGCAAGAATACTATTTTTTATTTAGAATAGGCATGGATATAGATTTACAAGATTTGATGGAAATAGCTCTTGGCACACGGCATGAAGACCCGATCGATTTCCAACACTCGACAATCGAGAGAAGAAAATGAGGAGCCCAGATCGAGCAAAAACTGACGAATATCGTCCACAGAGACACTGCACTCCGGCGACAATGGGGAGCGCTTTGCTTTAGGTTCAACAGTGGCCATTGTTCTTCTCTTATCGGAGAGACACTCAAAAGAGAAAACTGTTCGACAACTCTAAAATAATTCTTTGTGTACTTTGAGCCTTTCCAGGCGTGTTACGTACAATACCTGGCCGTGGATTCGTAAAGAAAGACCCCAAATTGGGCAAACGGGCGAAGTAGGTCCGGGCCAAACTTCCCATTTCGTCATAGCTACTCACTACATGACGTATGAAGTTTGGATTTCGTTGCGGCACTGATTTGTGCTGAGAAGGATCACGAGTTGCACACTCTGGGGGGTTATGGACTCTTGGTTGGATGGGTGTTGACCCGATGGAGAGAGTAGCCGACATGGAGGTGTGAAACGACTTGATGATGTTTACGATGTTACTAGGGACCCCTGCCTTCGCGAGAACCAGCCACATGCATTCACGGTTTACTGAGTCGTACGCCTTACGTAAATCAACAAAGACAACGTATCCCGGGCAGCGATGTTCGTACAACTTCTCCAGGACTTGGCAAACTGCAAACACCATGTCTGTGCAAGATCGACCCTTACGAAAGCCGCATTGGGAGTCGGGTAGAATATTCTCCGCAATAATCTGTAATCTGGACTGAAGTACTCGAGCAGCAACTTTCCCAACAACATCCAGGAGTGATATGCCACGCCAATTATCACACAATGAGAGGTTACCTTTCTTTGGGATTGGCACAAGATTGCAGTCTACCCATTCCTGCGGAACAGCCTCGTCATCCCAGACATGGTGCAACAGATCCAACAGTGCCTCCATGAAACTCTCACCACCCGCTTTGACCAACTCAGGCAGGATAGCTGAGGCGCCAGCGGCCTTGCCGTTGCTGAGTTGTCGAATAGCTCGCGCCACCTCTGCTGCATCCGGCTTGCCAGCGATGTTCTGGTTGATAGGCTGCTGGTCTATTTCGTCAATGGCACATGGATCAAATGTGCTAGGGATGTTGAGTACACCATCGAAATGTTGGTACCATCGTCCACCTTGTTCCTCCACAGATTTGCAGATGTTGCCATTTGCATCCCTAATAGCGGTAGTAGACACAGGGCGTAATCCCTGCTTGGCAGCCTGCATATCCTTAACACATGCCCACACCCGTGAGGAACTGAACCGTGCACCATCAAGAGATTTGGCTTTGTTGGTGAACCAGGAGTTCTTGGCAGAGCGGACAGCAGCTCTTGCCTTACTCCTGGCAGCCTTGAACCTGTTCCACGTGTCATCAGACCTGCCACTTGAAATCCATTCTTGATATCGCTGATTCCTTTCATTCAACAAGGGTTCGAGGGTATCTTTGCTCTCAGTAAACCAATCTGGTTGACGACGTTTCTGAAAACCGAGGGTCTCCTCTGCAGACTCGGTGACCGCGGTGCGCAACCTCGACCATTTGCATTCAACGGTGGTATTTTCATTCGGCTGTTGCAGACTGTTTGTGAGGCATTCACGATAGTTATCAGCAACTCGTGTGATGTTTCCAGATGAGTCAGTGCTGTGGACATCCTTCAAACGTGGAACATCAAACCGCTTACATTTCTTCGTTTGCACACAACGCGAGCGGCGCTGCAGACGGCCTACTACAAAACGCGCAGCCACCAGGTTGTGATCGCTCCCACATTCCGCACTTCTTATAACTTGAGCATCAATACATTGGTGGTAGTCAGCTTGTGACGTGATGACAAAATCAATACAATGAAATCTCTTTGACCTTGGATGTTGCCAGGTCCACTTCCTATCCTCTGTCTTGCAGAACCATGTGTTACACACCATCGCCTGAATAGTTGCAAGAAAATCCAACAGCTCACGTCCTGCAGAGTTCATCTCACCCACTCCATGCGGGCCCCGTACACGTGACACACACACACACACACACACACCAGTGCTCTATTATGTGAACATGTTCGTCCTGCTACTAGCACTAATTAGAAAACAGAATTCCTTTTTTCAAATTGTTAAATCAGAATCCAATGGAACTGCTTTGCATTCTTCACGTAATGTCGTTTACCTTCTACGTTTGCGGACTTTGATAGTTCGCCTTGTTCTCTAAAATTTCCAATTACCGGTAATAAATTCGCCTTTTCTGTTTTCCTGTGTTTTGAGCAGGCTTTTTGGTTGTTTTCTGCCGGATGATCTGACCCGGCTTGACCCGGCTGGCCTGCCTGCGCCAGGTACACTCTGACCGGGCTGTGTTGAATGTCTAGAGCAGGCCCTGATGTTATACCGTATATTATATTCTCTATTATAAGCGCCGTGCTTATATTTTTTCAACACCCCTCTACCCCGTGCTTATATTGGAGACCGTGCTTATATTTTTTCAACCAATACATCCATACAGAGCAAGAAGAAATACATGCTGGATATCATGCGTGCAGCATTGATTTCCACCAATACCGTGCTACTAATAGAGACTGTGCTTATGGTATGTAAAGCTGTGTTCATTTGCTGGCGCGTGTGCGCCCGGAACCCAGTGTTTGTACAGTCAGACCTCGCTTATCCGGTCCTCGTTTATCCGGATCCCTCGCCATCCGGAAGAAAATCGCTGGTTACCGATGTGCAGCATATGTTATGCATACAACATAGCCGGACCTCGCTATCCGCATACCGGTGCATGATTTTGTGTACAAACTGGTTAAAATGTGTATAAAAAGCTTCGTCGTATCCGGTTGCATGTGGCTTGCAGAAGCTAGAATCAGGGAGTTGCACAAACAAATGAGGTCCTTGACCTGCTGGGTGCATGCGGACAGCACTCAGTTGCATCAAGAGTCCATAACCCCCCAGAGTGTGCAACTCCAGGTTGGGGTCTGGCGCAACGAAATCCAAACATTGCGTCATCCGGTCCCCGGGCTAGCATGGGCGGATGGGGCCATGTGCATATCTGGTACATCCGGCGGGGGTTCCAAGTAATTTAGTTGAAGGTTGCTTTGAAGCAAGCCACGGAAGTGTCACGTAAAACGTTTGCTCCACGGGCTATGCAATGTCACTTGTCAGCAGAACGGCTTTGATTTCACAGTCACAGAATTTTTTTATTTGAAGAGAGTTTCTCTGCTCGTTGTCTGAAAAGCTTGTATTGGGAGAGTTCGTGACTCCGGGATAGCAAGAATAGGCATGGATAGGCATGAATATAGATTTACAGACTTCGAGCAATAAATCTCTAGCCAGGTGCTGGAAGAATTAACAATTTCCAACACTCGACAATCGAGAGAAGAAAATGAGGAGCCCAGATCGAGCAAAAACTGACGAATATCGTCCACAGAGACACTGCACTCCGGCGACAATGGGGAGCGCTTTGCTTTAGGTTCAACAGTGGCCATTGTTCTTCTCTTATCGGAGAGACACTCAAAAGAGAAAACTGTTCGACAACTCTAATTCTTCGTGTACTTGAGCCTTTCCAGGCGTGTTACGTACAATACCTGGCCGTGGATTCGTAAAGAAAGACCCCAAATTGGGCAAACGGGCGAAGTAGGTCCGGGCCAAACTTCCCATTTCGTCATAGCTACTCACTACATGACGTATGAAGTTTGGATTTCGTTGCGGCACTGATTTGTGCTGAGAAGGATCACGAGTTGCACACTCTGGGGGGTTATGGACTCTTGGTTGCATGCACTTGTCATTTTTCTCGCTTGTTTTACATACTGTGCACGCTAGTTGTACTGCATAGGACCCGTCTACATGTATGTACAATGTCACTGCTTTTGACATGCCACATGCATATACAGTATGTGTGTTCAGTTATCCGGTTCCCCCGCCTATCTGGATATTTTTGTGGAAAACAGATGTGTGCCGTTAAGCGAGGTCTGACTGTATGTGTTTTACTGGCTTTGGGGTGCCATGTGTATAGAAACGTGTTGAAATAGAAACCCCAACATGTATTTTTCAGCATGTTCAGGCGTGCACTGATGGCGTGACACAACCTAAATAAGACTTGAATTGCTGATTTCTGTGAAAGGCTAAATGCACGCATGCACTGCGAAAACATCCTGCGTGCACTCTGCCGTACAGGCGCCAGTTCTGAAAACAGCTTTAGGGTCCTCTGCCTTCCTCTATTGCCGCTTTCCTTCAATTTCCTTTTTGGTTTTTATCTTTGGTAATTGGTACATGAGTAGTTGTGTTGGTTCGTCTGGCAGCAGGTAAAGTGTTTTGGATGCATGGAGTGGTAAGGTTACACAAGGATTTCAACTGCACACAACTTGCTGGAATCACAGTATTATCAAGGGAGTGTATGTGAGGCGAGTCTGTGCGTTTAGTAGGTCTACATGTAAATGCACAAGTACATGTACTTACCTGTACTCTCTGTGTGTTTATGTATGTGCTCGTGTGTGTGTGTGTGTGTGTGTGTGTGTGTGTGTGTGTGTGTGTGTGTGTGTGTGTGTGTGTGTGTGTGTGCTCGTGTGTGTGTGTGTGTGTGCGTGCGTGTGTGTGCACATGTTCGTATGTTTTCTTGCAGGATGGTATGAAGCTCTACTACGTATGCACGTCTCCGAACTGCGGGCACAAGTGGATCCAGGACTAGACGGCTGCTGTGTGCTACATGTACTCGCACTGTGCGTCTATTAATGCTGCTGTCTCACCACTCAAATATGTACATAAATACTTGACAAGAGAAACAAAACAAAAGCACTGAACAACAAGGGTTGGGGGGGGGGTCTTTCGATAATGAGAAAATAAACACCTTGACATTGTAAAATCACAAACAACCTAAAAAATAATAATGAAAACCTAGACACTGCTGTGCTGTTCATTGCCACTGCCACCTGTCATGATCACATACTGTATGAGAAGCATTCCTGCCCGCCTTATTCACACAAAAATATAAATACAAGCGTTTGCCTGATCATCTATTCCTCATGCTTCATCAATATTCTGCTCTTGTTTAGGCCGTGTCACAATCCAACACTAGTGGTGCCTTCGTCTTAGGCGGAAACTATTGTTTCGTTCCTGCTGGGCAGCTCTCGCTTTCTCTCTCTCTCTCTCTCTCTCTCTCTCTCTCTCTCTCTCTCTCTCTCTCTCTCTCTCTCTCTCTCTCTCTTTCTCTCTTCTTCTTCTTCTTCTTCTTCTTCCTTGTCCTCTGTTCTTTCCACTGCTGTTTTATTGTCTCAATGCATGCATATGTGTGTCTGTGTGTGCGTGTCCTGCTTGTGTCTCAATCTGAGAATTGCAGTAGGCTGATTGTCATTTTCTAATCAGTACTCGTTGCTGCTGTTGTTGCTGCTGCTACTGATGTCATAGCGTTGTGTTCTGATAAACATATGGGTACTGGTATCAAATTTAGAAGTTGCTCACCTGTGACTGGTGTGTGGTTACGCTTTGTGCAGAAGTGCAAATGGTCTGCTTGGGCGCAGCTTTTGCAAGGATATAAATTATAAAGATCCAGGTCTGGTGGTGGTACTGACAGCTTGGGTGTCTTGAAAGTCCTGACACCGTCCACTTGTGTCTTGGTGACTGGTACAGTATGGGAAGCACCTGCCAGGCTACAGGTTGTACTAATTCATAGTAATTGTGTTGGCTGCACTGTGGACTGTGGCCAAGTGATGCATGACACTGTCAGGCACAGCTTGCCTGCAGTTGTATTCTTGTGGTCACCGTGCAAGTCCCTGTGGCTTTGTGTCTGACACAGGTGCTAGATAGGGTAAGTGTATCAGTGATGGGTGTGTATACTACACAAACTCACTTCTTTCCATACATGTACTATACAAACGTTTACTTGCTGATATGGTCAGGGCCTGTGAGGCCCTCTGGCTAGAGCTGCATGGTATTGGTGCACATCATCCACTACACGTAATACTGCAGTAGAATTCCTCATCAGCCAGTCTCCTACTTCAAATGATTAATTCATCAGCAGGGAGTCGTAAAATACCGTATTTTACGACTCCCTCTTTATCACTCATGTACTTTTCGTTTCAGAGCAATGAATTTGCGACAGTCTATTACAAGTATAAATCAACTGTCTTCAAGCCAAGAGCCCATCGGAAGTAAGAGTGAACAAGGTGCATTCCAAAGCCAATAATAGTGTTGCCAGTGAGTATATTGATTACCATGCACAATGACTCTTTCTCAAACAGTTTTAACGGAAAGGGGAACTCCCCTGTACTAGGCTGTAGGCTAACTGCAGCTGTCTTCCACAATCTGGCTTTTTAAAATCAGTTTTTCTACAGTCAGGACAGTGTTGCCACTGATATGGTTTGTCTGCATGATACATGTAATAATGTTACCTGTGCAGACATGCATGCATCTAAAGTAACTTTTAGTTACAGTAGCACATGTCTGGCAAGGAAAAACTCCAGCTCTCTTCTGTCGTGAACGCCGATTCTTTCGTACAGAGTTGATTTTTGGGCATGCATTTGGTCTCAAGCAGTCCAAGTCTTGCATGTCACCGGAGACCAGGTGACGGGCAGTGATGCACCCAACTTCAGTCCTTTCCTGCCAGCTAGTGGCGTTTGTTTATCAGCATGCACGACATTTCCCTCCCTGCCCCGTATCACGACAGCAGGCGACAAAAGTCAGCAAAGAGACGTGACTAGCAAATCAGCATAGGGAAGACCAACTCAGCAAACTGAAGAATAGAAAAGCACCATCTGCACCAAGACAGGGCAAGACAAACACGCAAAATAGAGCAGCGACCAGATAGCTCATGCAGAAACTTTCAAGTCTCAACTTGATTATGCATGTAACTGAAACAGCTCGTTCGACCAGGCAGTCAAGACAAATAACACGACAGGGAGAGACATACAAGCTACTACGAATACAGCAACTAACTACCTGATCCGTGGGTTCGGTTGTCATTAGCACAATGACTGCCAGCCACTTAGACAAGCAGTTCCAATGTGTAGTGTTCACATTACGCTGCAACAGTCTAAGTGCGACCAAACAAGGCCGCACGGAAGGGGGGGGGGGGTTAAAAACTTCAGTAGAACAATTAATTGTACTTTGTTTGCCGACGGCCTAACAACAAAGACAGTAAAGGCAACGCCAAGTACACAACACTGACAACACGCCTGGTGCTCGTGACCAACAAGGGACGACCTATTGGACACGTAGACATCAGGCACATACAGGGTTTTTTTCATGCGAGTTCTACAACCCCCATTTATTGCTCCAGCTGCTGATGGTTAACAGACGGCGGGAATACGAAGGCCGGCGATTGACCCGTGTGGCGACTTGGTGACAAACTGTAAGGGATCATTGGCGAGAATGGTCCATTGTATAGGAAAGGGCTGCTAGCTACAGGCCTTGGTATGGTCAGCACAGGCAGCGGTGATATGATGATAGGCGACGACGGTAGTCCATGCTGAAGGAAGGTGGTGTTAGTGGCAAGCTGGTTTGCCGCTCGTGTGGCGGCATCGGGCAGAGCTGGTGGCAACGGGAACGCGCGAGTGTGCGCTGCTGACATGGCCACCGTGCTGGCGGCAGGCAATGTGCCGATGCTTGCAGGTGCAACTAGCTCACCGCTTGCTGCGCTTGTGACCATTACGTGATTACTGGGGGCAAACGCGGACACGTGTATACTGCCGCCATTGTCGTGATCGTGCTGATGATGATAGTACATGCTGTCTGCATTGCTGGATGACCCATGCTCGGCGAGTTCGCTGTGGTTGGTCAGGCTCGCCGGAGCCGCAAACTGAACCAAGCTGTCAGCGTTGCTCGACGAGCCACGCTCGGCCACTTCGCTGTGATTGGTGAGGCTATGCGCAGTCCTGTCCTCGGCACTCTCATTAGTTATGCTTGCCAGGCCATCGATGGACACGCTGCTGGCGCCGGGCGTGGATCGGTGAATATCCGACACTGACCCCGACGTGCCATGACTGAGTCGATGATGACCTCGCATCAGGATCGAGCCTGCAGACAAACACCAACCAGAACAACTCTTTAATAGGTCACGCTGGTTTTTTTCTATGTTTAGCGTTCCGGAGCGCATGTGTTTCACAGCCAGAGTTAAAACACATACACACACACGCGCGCCTGAGCACGTACTCAGCTTGGCCGGGAGCGCTCCTGTCCAGCTGATAGGGAGCGACAGAGCCGGATTAGCTGGGCCAGTTGGTACGACATTGCACGTGCCGTAAACTATGTGACATTCATTTTACGACTCCCTGATTGAAGTGTACGCTCGTACCAACCAGGTTTATCGCCTTGGGGTGATAACCCTGGGAAGAGCACTGTTGTCTGGGGGAACCGTGCAACGTGGGGGTGGGGGTGGGGGGTGCTTGCTCCAAAGTATCGTGCCAACGGACACAGCGTTGCCACCAATCTCAATTTCATCAGTAATCTGTAAAACACCCCGCTGTCCGGTCCCAGCCATTAGAGAGGTTCCGCACTACGTAAAGTTGAGCAACTTTACGTTAGTGGGCGGGAAAAACCCGTGATTTCGCGAGTTTGCACTCCACTTACGGAAAGTTGTCTACGGACAGTACGTAGATAGAGCTCTGATAACGTAGCTGGTCCGTAAGTGGATTGGGGTACAAATTTATGACTCTCTCCCCAGGTCGATCTGGTCGTACACTGCCGCGTTCGGAGTTGCCAAGGGCAGCTACGTGATTTGAAAACTCCGTATGGCGGAACCCAGATGCGCATGCAGTTTACGTAAGACTTTCCGTAGTTCGATTACGTTTTTTACTAACGTAATTAACGTTATGCGGAACCTCTCTATTGTCTCATCGAGGTAACAAAGTCCCGTCACTGTGCACTTTTCCCGCGGCCATTCGAGTCCTGAACTCACAAGCTGAGTCGGTACCTCCATTCCTGCCACTCGGCCACTGAGACCGCAAGGGAGCGTAAATAGGATCTGATGTATGTAGTTGATTGATAGTTACACATCCATGTGAAGCAGTGTGCCCGCAAAGTACAGATTCTGCGTCACAGCACCAACATAAACCGGGTACGTTAAGGTCATTGGAGAACGAAGAAGGGCTGGGATTAACCGAAGCGCCGTCCGCTAACCCATTGCACGCATCGGAGACTTCAGCAGTTTCAACCTCACTTGCCAATGTCCGAGAGCGCAAACGCCGTAGTAGCACGTACATGTATGCCCAGGCTCAGTATCCTGACCCTGAGTAGAATGAGTCTGTGTATTCATCGGATACCCATGTAATAGCAATACTCGTGGGATCTGCGTCCGCATCGTTTGAATGCGGTTCAGAAACACACAAACCTATCGACGGCAGCAGTTAATCGACAATGCGCGGCGCTAGGGCAGCTAAAGGCACGGTATGAAGCAAACGAGAACGTTAGCTACGGTGGGTATCTAAGCGGCTGAACGGTGTAGTTTTGGTCAAAAGAAATAATGGAGCGACTAAACAGCGACTCAAGCACTCAAAAGAGCACTCGACAGCAATCAGCAAGTCACCACAGTAATACAAACTGGCAGTTACCAAGGGCAAATCAGTTGTTTGACAATGCAGAACACACCATGCAACACAAATCAATCGGCATTCACTACTGAAAAGGTCACGAATCGGAAATAGCTAAATAAATAGCTAGCTAGTTGGGAGAGATACTTGCGCGAGTTAAAATGTTTGGATAATAATAAGCGAAAGAAAACTATCAAAGAGACCCAACATCAAACGGCAAAGGCTGAGCCGACCGAGGAATAAGAGAACCGCCCAAGCAGGGGCAGCCCGGAGGCTTCCATGCTTCCCAGTGCCAGCACGCTGAGAATATGAACTACTGTAAAAGCCATAATTATAATATAACGAAGTGCTAATTCTAACGAGTTAACGAGGAGAAATCTGTGAGAATCGTCACCTTTGGTACACGTAAACCAGTCAATTTTGGGAAGTCGTTATATACGCGCCTCGTTAGAATAATGGCTTTTACAGTAGAACGAACAGCCCACACGAGCAAGCTTGCTAGCTTGCTGGATGATGATGATGATCATAATGTTAATGATTTTTCTTTTTTTTCTTCTTTTTTTGAATGATTATGATGATGAGCGCATTTGGTTGTCCGTACAAAAAGGCTGTTTGGATGATGATGGTGATGATGAGCAGAATCAATTAATTTTGGTTGTAATTATTTATCACCTTCGTCTCGGTATATTTTGAACTTCCTTTCCGATCCTTTTTTCTTCATTCTGTGGGTTTTCACAGTTTGTGTTGCACCGCCTTTTCCAAAGATGACGATGAAGACGATAGCGATGGCGACAGCGCTGACGACAGTGCTAAAATAAAAAAATTAAACAATTAAAATCCGCAGGTCAGCAACATAATACATTATTATTATAGGTGCCTACACAGTCATACAGTAAAAGCAAGAGTAGATAAACAAGAGTGTACAACTCCGCATCTCTTCTGCACAATCTGCAGATACCCCCACCCGCGGCGGATTTTTTTGTTGACGACACCTTTTTTTCAGAAGAACGCGCATTTTGCCCCAGAGCAGTATGAGAGCACATGCTGGGCACCGGCTTTGTAATGTAAAGCCCGGCCAAGTGCACGAGGCAAAACTTTCCAAAAGACTCGCAGCGCGTGCATCGTCGAAAAGATAACGTCGACAAAAAATTCCGCCGTGGGCCAACCCATCCGCGAGTTGCACACTCTTGTTTATCTACTCTTGGTATAACCTGTCAAGGTGACCACTCTGACAAGGCGACCACCTGTCCTAGAGGACCACTACAACTAGGACCAAGGGCAAGGGGTGTACTAGTAGTTTCCAGTCACATGACACTGGATAAGGAGATAACCTGCAAGCACATGACACTGGATAAGGAGATAACCTGCAGTCACATGACACTGGATAAGGAGATAACCTGCAGTCACATGACACTGGATAAGGAGACTACCTGTACACGGGGACTACATTCTGAAGGTCCCCTGAGCAGTCGGCTTAGACCGGTTTCACTGTATCGTATCAATGTGGCACACTGTTGCAGTGGACAGCTGGCGAGGTGCATATGTACTATGTGAGTGCCTATAGCTTACCCTCGTTCGGCGGCGAAGTAGGGTAACTAGGCGTATTTGACCGGGACGAATTTGACACCGCGTAGTGGCCAGCCGTGGCTGAGCCAAGCATGTTGCTACCTTCTTGGCCGAAGCGAATGTCTTCAGAGCCATTAGGGGAGGTCAACAGCTGTGAGCCATGACGCCGCATGTGACCATTACTCAGGATTGCCGCCGAGAAATGGCCGTCCGTGGGCGGGGAGCGACTCTGCCGCTGCGCACCATCGTGTCTGGGCATACGCGTGGCGAATGTGCCGCTGCTCATGCTGGCCGACTCCGGCTGCTGAATGGCGCCGAATGCACCGCTGCTCATCTGGTGTTGTGCTGCGGATGTTGAGTACACGGGGCGCAGTGGTGGCGGTTGCACAACCGGAAACGCCTGGCGCCCGTTGGACGTGTGCAGCCCAAGGCCGCCGTCGTCGGGGTACTGGCTGTTTGAAAACACGCCATAGTACCCACCAGTCATGAACCCGTCTCCTCCTTCTCGATTGGCTACAGCAGTCAACAATAGACACATGAGAAGATGAACATGAACAGCTGCATAGGTTGGAGAACTTGAGGAAAGCGCAGTTTGTTGGAGCATCATGCATGTGGCGGGGCAATGTTGCGCTACTTAGAAATGAGAGCTGGCCACCTCTTGCACTGAACTGGACCTGCAGTCTGAATGCAAGCATGGCTCAAGTGCCACCTCAGTTTCAATCCACCTCGACCTCTAACAAGGTCGATGTACCTAGCTGTCCAGAGATTGAGTATAGATTTTTGCAAAAAGGACAACATATTAAATATTAGCACACGAAGCACAGAAGCAACTGGAAATTCTGACGTAGGCTCAATCTTTGTCACTGCTTGGACCGCCACCTAGAAAGCCAGATAGGAGGACTTGTTTGCTGTTGATCATATCACAAATGTACTGACTTTGACGAGTAATGGTGCTAAAGCGTTGAAAAAGAAGGATCCACAAGCGGGATTCAAACCCAGCACCCCTGTCTTTCCGGGGCAGCGCCCTACCAGTTATGTTACCGGGAATCACACACACCCGTGGCTCCTTCTTGCAACACTAGTCCCTCGCCCCAACGGGCTGTGTCCTCACGCCGTACGTGACTCTTTTCTTTTCTTGCCGTGGTTGGCTATCACCCCTCTCTCGCACTTTGCGTGCCAATTGGTCATGGACCACGAGTTGAGTGAAATAAATACATAAATAAACTGTTACTCACGTGGGGTCATGGACCACGAGTTGAGTGAAATAAATAAATAAACTGTTACTCACGTGGGGGGGGGGGGGTTGAGGGGCACAATGGGTTGTGGGTTCGAGCCCCAAATTGGGCAATGCCAATGTTGCAAAACAAGTATCCATGAGCGGGATTCAAACGCAGCGCCCCTGCACCTGTCCACCTGTCCACCTGAAAGGCCTCATCGGAGTTCTATTGGCTTCTGTGCTTTATGTCCTGGATAATGTATACTGAAAACATCATGTGACCCTGGAATACAGTCATGCATATTGATTCGGACAGCTGCATGACCATCAGAAGTCAACACTACCTTGTCAGCTCCAGTGGGTCTCAAACTGTGTACTCGAGCAGTGGTAGGTCCCGCAAGTTAGCGATCAGAGCAAGCTAAGCCCTCAGCCCACATCATCATGGCACAGGAGACCAGGAAGTTCGCGGCGGGGGTAGTTCAAGACGTACCCCCCCCCCCCCCCCCCCCCACCACCACACACACACACTATAAAAACTACATTTGTGAGACCAACGACGAGTTTTACAGTAGCACTTCAAACCGACTTTGGCAACATTATCTACGGGTGCGGCGACGCTGGTTCATGGCCTTTGGCACTGCAAGCAAAACTCGGCCAGGAGTTCTCCATGCTATGGCCCAATACTCACACAACAGTTGTCTGCCGCGTCTAGTGCTCTATGTCCAGCGGACAGAGCCGGCCAGTAATACAACCATGGCACGCGTGTATTTTTTCGTACAGCACACCGCCGCACGATACACACCGCTATGTGGACGTCACTGATCACTCGGATCTACGACAGCCGCCGAGTGTTCATAAATCACCGAATACCGAACATGCCCGGGCACTTACAAGTTGATTTTCGGCGTGGTTCGCGGGGCCCGTCAACGGTAATCTTGATTGCATCGCGAATGGTGCCAACCTGCACCACCGGCTTGGTCCCCACGATTATCGTAATCGTGAACTTCTTCCCTGAAGGATAAAAAAAACGCATCAGAAAATTTGATTCGAAGAACAACAAGTGTATGTGTTACATCTGCTTGGAAGTCAAATTAAAAACATTCCTGCCCCAGCCTGTGATGCCAGCAAGGAGAGCATGAATGCCATGCACAGCAATATGTTCACTGTAGTAGTACTGTGAAGTCCAGCCTGGACACCCCAACCTCCACGACCGTCCTAGTAGGTCCAGGTGGAGAGGGGCGAATGGGCGAGCTCTACTTGCCGCGTTCAGTACTCCATGGACAAGTATTCACCCTGCGAAAACTGTTCGTGTGTCTCGTACACCGACCAAAGGTCAAGAGCAGGGAGTCGGACAAACCCGTCAAAACCCAGGCGTTGTACGATTCCTGGGCAAGAGCGTGCGAACTGCTGCATACATTTCCAAACGAGCCGAGCACGCGTCCGCAGTGCAGTGCAGTGCAGTGCAGTGCGGTGCAGTGCGGTGCAGTGCAGTGCAGTGCGGTATCACACTTCACAGTCATGTGATGATACACTTCCCTGACAGAAAGTCAGGGAAGGGCGCGGAGAGATGGGGCGCTCTGGCGGGATTTTACGGCACATGCTTTCTTCATAGAAATCGTTATACAGAAATCGATCCATATACTGTTCTATTGAGCGTTGAGAATGCGTTAGAATCGTTACCTTTGGTACACGTAAACCAGTCAATTTTGGGAAATCGTTATATGCATGTATGCGCCTCGTTAGAATAATGGCTTTTACAGTATTTCTCTACGTTCTGCAATCCACTACATGTACACTATAAAATAATTAATACACCTCAGCCTTGATGTGGACATTTGTCGATTTTAATACTAGTATTTCTCAGGTAGATTTTCACACACACAGCTGCATACTAGCATAGGGAACAGATGTCTGTGCACTGAAACTGTATACTGTGACAGTCTTTGGGCCCTGACTTGGTCATCCACAGAGAGAGAGGAGACTTGAGAGGCAAGACTGACCACAACCAAAGACCTGTCAAGTCGATGTATGCAGTCCGCAAGCGCAACGACACCCACCATGTACCACGACCTGGGATCGGAACGGCTGAAAGCTTCGACAGCTTCTTATCTCGTGTGAGCGCGCGGCGGTCACTTCCTAGATCCTCGACAATATCAACACGAAAAACAATCTTTTTTGCGAATGTGATTTACACCAAACTATGATACTCCTTCCTGGCCTGTTCTTCGGTCTTTCACTTTTCGCTAATCAGCGGCATATACCATGATACTAGTATACCATACACATCAGTTCACTAGATTTGTAAGCACAGTCAGGGCTAACGGAAGACAAACATCGACCACAAGGTAATAATATTATTTTAACGCCTGCTAGTGCTGGATGTTCGCTGAGGCTTCTACTTTCTAGGACCGGCCCAACGCGAACGATGATAAGAAAAATCCTAAATCACAGTAAATGAAACACAGCCGAACCGTGCCTGCACTGCTCACCGATCCGCACGCATGCCGTTTCATTTAGAAAGACATGCCCTCAGATCATTCTGTTCACATCATACATGTACATGCAACCGTACAAATGCCCAACCGACGAATACGACAGTATGCAGCAGTTTCACAACATCTCCCGGAAAGAAACACGCACAGTCACAAACCTCAAGCACGACTGGAACTGGCTGTACTACTGTAGGCACTAAACATGTACACGCGACTTGTTGAAAGTCAGTTTTGTGCTTTGCCAGGAGCAAAGCACTTTACGAACTAAACTTACCTCTGCCCGATCTGCCCACAAATCTCAAATCGTGAAATCTCGCTTGATTATTTTGGATGACGGCGATATTGTTGCGCAGCTCAGGGCCTGGATTCTCGTCGTTGCCTGCCTTGAGCGTCACCTCTACTCCGTCCGGTGTTTCACTTCGTAATACAACTTTGAAGGCTTGCGGTAAAGACTTGTTGACTCGCCAGTGATCTGGTAGAGGAGAGCAGTATATGTTCGGGCTGTCAGTGGCGAGCAACTCACCACTATCGAGCTCATCTGGAGAGCGATGTGACGACGCTGCGCAGCTCTGGCCATCCACTCTTCCCGCTGCTGTCCCTGGCGATGTGGTCATGTTCATTCCGCTAGAAGAAGCAAGGCCATGAGAGCTCCTCGGTGGGCCATGCTGGGTCGGCGGTATGTTATGACTCATTTCTAGCACAACCGCACAGCAATATTTTTTTACCACTACAAAGCAAGAGTGAAGAGAGCTAGCCGGCTGTTACTTCAAAACGACACGCTCAGGCTTTAGGAATCTCTCAGCATATATCGTTTGCTTCTGGTTAGCACAGCCTCGCATTGATCGAATCAAAGATCAGCTCAGCTCCAAAGATGGCCTTCGATATTGATTGCTGGATGCACACACAATGGTCGCCACTACCAATACAGGTGAAGATAAAGCCGCCAAATCACAAATTTCCTCAGAGCAGCGCTCGAAAAGGCCACTAAGCTACCAAGACCACAAGAAAACCCCAACTGACTCGCAAAGACCTTTATATTCTTCCTAGAACAACCGCTAACTCAGCGGGCAACGCAACCTTCTACTCTATTGCTGGCCTTCCAATGGCAGTTGTGGTCAAATACAAAAAATATACTGTCACTACTTGCACTAGTGCACTGTTGAGTGTTGTAGTACAAGTAACACGTTAGTTTCGAGGTACTATACGTGTAGTAGATCTACGCGGAGCGTCCGCACGAATAATATGACTGCATAGCAGCATGCAGTGCAGGATCAGGAGGCTCGAGTCGAGGTCAGGCAGAGGCTATGGCTATGGCTGTGCCTGCGGTTTGAGTGGATCATGACTGTGGTGGTGCATGCTTTCATGCACGAATGGAGTCGACCCCATCACTCAGGCATCACTGCATCAAGTACATGATGTACGTGGAGTCCAGCACTTGCACAGTGTGTGTGTGTACCAGAGTACCGAAGCAGTTGCTGCACAGCTACTGCATGATTGTACTGTACTTGAGACTACTACTAGCACTAGTAGTAGGTCTCCTACAGTCTACACTGAGCTAGCAGTACTACTACCGTACTGGCAATATATGTTGCCGCGTAACGCGTAACGCAGGGGGGTGCGGCGTAACGCGCGACCAGGCTAGTGCGACAAATTTTCGTTGAGTTCGTAACGCGCGTCCGGCGGGGTGCGGCGATCTTTTCATTGCAGTTTGCACTGCACAAGAAAAATGATGCGGCAAAAGCAAAAAAATGATGCGGCAATAGCAAAAAAGTGATGCGGCAATAGCAAAAAAAAGGACTGCGGCAATATAGAAACCTGTGTAACGGCTCCTGTGCGACTTTGCATGTAACGCCCTGCGTGCGGTAAACATGTGCCAATGTAACGCTTCATGGCCTCACTGCGGCAACATATATTGCCAGTACGGTAGTAGTAGTACAAGAAGTAGCAACACGGGCAAGCAACAAGGTCAAGGACTCAACGAGCCCTAGGCCTAGATCAGTCAGTTTGGTGTGAGAAAGGGCTAGGGGCGCTAATAAGTAATATTGCACCAAATAATAATAAAATTTTAATACCGTCATGTACTAGTAATACTAAAACCGGAAGGGAAAAAGAAAACAAGAATCGTAACTTTTGCTGACACTGACAGGTACTATGTGTAACGCGCAGTTTGGCCTGTACCGTAGTGACGCACATAAACTTGAAAAAGGCACATGCGCTTATGAATATGAGTGAGTTTTTGCGTTACAGTAAAACCTGTAACTAAAGACCACCGTGACTAGCGACCAGCCTGGTACTACCGACCACTTCGCCAGGCACGGACGGTCTCACATTTAAAATGCACTGTGACTAGCGACTACCTGCTGAACGCGACCAGCGACCGCCTTTTCTTGTCCCAAAGATGATTTTTGACCCGTAACTAGCGACCGCGCTGTAGGAAATCAAAATTAATGTTGCTTGAAGCTCCTTCTTGAAATTTTGATGATTTTCCGTGGTCCTGAAAGGAATCTTTCGATACTACAGCTGAAGAAATGAACGCAGGTCATTTTGTCTGTGGAGTCGGTGTGGACTGCACTACACCTGTCAGAATTTCAAGCGCTGTCTAGAATAAACATGATAGGAAACGTCTTGCAAGCTTGGAGAGCGCATCGAAAGCGCTCTCTGATTGATGTTACTACTCGGAGGAGAAACGAAGACTAAGCGGCTCTGTCATCCCAGTAATACACACGAATCGACGATGGCATCAAGGAATCCAGAAACAAAGCAGCACCGCAAGGTCCTGATGCTGAAGGATCGCGTTCAAGCAATCGAGAAGTCGCAACAAGGACAGTCGGTACGATTGATCGCATGAACAAATTTGAAGCCCAGCGCAAAACGAAACTTCCACAGGGAACGTTTGACTCCTGGCTTCAGAAGTAGGAGCTGAATTTGATGTCCGCAAAAAATATTAATCTTCTCTCTCTCTAGCTCTCTGTCTCTCTCCATCTCTTCGTCTTTCTCTCCAAGTGTTGTTTGACCTGAGATAAGAATAATAATTAAATTATAGTAAGAAAGGGTTTGCTCCCCACACCGGAGCTCGCGCTATTCTGCCTTTCTTACAAATTATCGCCGAAGTCGCAACCACTACTTCGTAAATTATATTATATTATAATAATAATCTTTATTTCAGGATTACCCAAAGAGAATGGCATTGCGCAAGTCTTGGGGAATTGTTTTAGCTGTATTTTCATAATATTTTACATGTAGATCTACCATGTGTACATATCATATAATGGGATCCATAATATGGTCGCGCGGTGCAAACCTCCAACTAAAGACCACCTGCTACTAAAGACCGCTTTTGCTGGCACCAAGGGGTGGTCGGTAGTCACAGGTTTTACTGTATTTGCTATTTTTTGCGGGTCGTTTTGCCTCACACAGTGACATAGCCATAGCCAGGCGCATGTGCTTGATCAGTTGCTAGCTGGTGTACCGGTCCTTACATACTGTGACATAGTCATAGTGCAGTACCGGTATACCGCAATGCACATTGAACTATGTGAACAATAGTTACATGGTGTTTTTGTGGTGTCTGTGTGTAGATCTACGTGTCCCAAGTCAAGATGGACTGCATTTAGGTTCACTTATAATAAGCCCATGCGCTTATTTGTGAGGGTGCACTTACATGTATGCCTGGGTATAGCCTATAGGCACAATGGTGTGTATGCGCGTCACTACGGTAAGACTAAGAGCCTGTGGTGATCTGCTGCTTCGGAATCGTAGGCTACACTTGATGGCGATACGTCGGTGGTTGGGGTTTCCGATCGCCGTGGTCCCGTTTACCTTGGTTTTAGGAGGATGCCAGTTACTGAGTTAGTTGTTCCGTGTCGTTGTACATGTACATGTATTTCAGTCGTACAAGGACGCTGTCGGGAGGAGAAGCGATTGACAACGCACGTGTCACGGTGTGCCTTTCTCCTTGCCATGTTGGCGTGGAATTGGATAGTTAGGTCTGTCTGCCATGGTCTACAGAGTCGGACTGTGGCGCTCGTCCTCTTCAGACTTCACCACTGCCCTCGTACTCTGCAGCATCCGCTAGCGTCTGAATGATAGCTACAGTCAGCAAAGCCATTTTCACCAGCGAGTGATGCGACTCCCTGATTTGGACGAAATAATTATTTAATTTCTTGCACAGAAGTCGGCTGGCCTCGCTTTTCGGAAGAAAACGATAGTAGATGTAAGTAACAGTTGCAACATTTAATCATTCCAACAATGTCTCTATGTCAAGGACGTACAATGTAAGTGAACATTTACTGCAATTATGGTGAAATAGGAGAAGGACAAAATGATACGAGGTATGACTAACTGTCCACCAACGTAACCAGATCTTATACAGTCAGCGAGTGCGACAAAATGGCACAAAACTGACAAGGAGTACTGAGACATTCGGCGACCTGACACCTAGCTCCAACACTTCTCCAAGGTGCAAACCAACTACCTTCCAACTTGGAAGGCTCAGGTTCGGAAAGGTCCAAGAGGGGAAGGAAAGCGCAACGAAGAAGAGCACGAGCTACGCAACAAAGAATGCCGAAAGTTACTGGATGATGAATGGCACAAAACTGACAAGGAGCACTGAGACATTCGGCGACCTGACACCTACAAGGCTACATGTACATTTACATGTAGCTCCAACACTTCTCCAAGGCGCAAACCAACCCGATGACTGTATAAGATCTGGTTCGTTGGTGGACAGTTAGTCATAACTCGTAACATTTTGTCCTTCTCCTAGTTCACCATAATTTAATTGGCTCACCATCCGAGTTTCAATTTACTGCAATGTGAGAAATATAATTTGATTAAAACAATCACTTCGCATGAGCGTCGGCGAAGCCGAGTTTTCATCATCCGTTGGAACACTACCACCCTCTAGGGACGTGAGTAGATGAGACCCACCACAAAGTGGTCAAAGACCGAAAATCCCCGGATTCCTTGCATCCATGCTTTCCTCATGCAAGGCCACGAGTTCCCAATTAACTGTGGGTCGCAGCACGACTGGAAAAAGTCCTTCCGCTTCCAAGCAGGACTTGAACCTGGTACCCCCTGTTTCCCAATCATGGAAGTTTCCGGAGGAGGAAACCGTAGTTATCACCAACCCTCACCGCGCCCAGCTCACGCCACTGCCTCGTGCGAACCGAGCTGGGCTCCCTGCAGCGCGGCATGGTATAAGGCAGGGGCGTAGTCAGGATAGTGATCTGGGGGGGGGGGGGGGCGGATGTGGTGGTGCCACGACTTTCCCCACACAAAAGTACATGCACTCAAGTTTTTTGACCCGCGATATGCGGCGGGGGGGGGGGGGGGCAAAACTAGGCCCACATTTGACGCTGAAAATCAATCCGTGCCGAATGGCAAACCTCCAACCAGGTACTGTAGTAGTAATATTTACTTCTCCCTGCTTGCAACTAATGCCATGATGAGCGTACCCCTAGATGCTACTTTCTCCAGAGTTATCACACTCTCCAAGCAAAGAATCATACAAACACGCCATGCCGGGTAGAAGTAGCAACATGGTCCATGGAAAACACACGTGGCAGACATACATGCAGTAGTTTGTTCGCGCTAGTTCTGGCCGTTGAGCGGTCGCGTTGGAGGTTGCGGAAAGGCAAAGAAAATTTCTTTAAAGTGTGTTGCAAGTGTGGGTACTGCCGCGGCATCAGAAGAATGGCAATAAGTTACTAACGTTGAAGTGCAGTTTGCGGTTTTGTGGGAAATACAGTGTAGACACATGTATGATCAAGGATGCCTTACTGCACTATCAAACATTACATTTGATGGAGAGTGGTGGTGTGATTTCGTATGTACTTCAGAGTACATGGATCAATTGTATTGCATTGTTAGTACAAGTTGCACGCTCAGTTAGCCAGCGCTAGTATGTAGGCTGTACATAAGGCACTTCCTCAGTTATGTGCGTTGGGTCATTCTATCCAAGTTGGTGGAAACATAACATGGCGCAGTGACCCAAACCAACGTGCTGTTGCAGCAATGGATGCGGAAGGTGGAGAAGCAATCAAGATGGACGGCGACTTGACCCACAGCGAAGGTGAAGCAGTTTCAAGGCACAACCACACCCTCGCTTGACTGGTGCAACTGATCGCTAATCAAGCACAGCAG